TTGTTGCTGACAGCATGGGATATGTGTGTGGCTTATAGATTTTGAAGAGTAATAAACTGGGACTGGGATCTATTGTTCTGTCATCACTTGAAAATGAGAAACAACGTTGAGAGCTCTTCTCTTGTACAATTGGAATGCTGGAAAGCACTGAAAAATCCCAAAGTTAATGGGTGTTTTGGTAAGTATTCTTGATTTCCAAAGCTACAGTTAAGAGGCTTGAAGGATTTCAACTATCTTGTAACATTTCCTACAAATGTTTCAGTGCCAGAAAATGCCATCACTTGCCGGAATGGTTTATGTATCAGAATTTATGCTTTAAATATTATGAAGGATGGCTTAAAAGCATAGCTACAGTTGCATGGTACTTGGTTTTGCCACCAAAATCTGTTGCCTAGGAAATGACCCCCTTCTGCCATCCAGAAAGACTCCAGTGTGTAATTATTCTTAAGCGGTTACTAAAAGGTGAATTTAATGTGGTGGGATTAAAACGTTTAAAATACATTGATGTTTAAAGGAGGAAACCCACATTTGTCCTGAAGTGAATATTGCTGGGTATTAAGCCTGCCATGGGAAAAAACACATGTGGTAAATGCTGTATAAAATTAAATACATCTTAATCTAATGTTAATTGCTTAATTTATTACCTAAGAAAAACCCAGCACAAGAACTACCAATAAATGTGCACTAGCAAAACAAAATTAACACTGGAATTCAAAAAGAGTCATGGAACCAGCTCCCCTATGATCCTTCTAAATACAAGTCTAACTAAAACTGACTCACAGTATTCCCAAATAGGTACGGTTGAGAAAACCTGGAGAAAGAAATACTGTGAAATGTAAGAGGAAAGTGTTTTTCTTCTGTGCAGCTCTAAAAGTCTGGCCCTTTAAAATTAAATAGGCAGAGATAGTGTTTAAATGAACACGCATTTAAGAGAAAAAGAAAATTAAACTCTTTATGCCATTACTTAGCTCAAAGATGCCTTCTAGGAAGTACAATCTGGTGTACAGATCCATTGGCCAGGAAAATCTCCAAAGCACTTCCAGACTCTGTTTTTTAAAGTTTATAATACAGTAAAGACCATCCCTCTCAATAAAACCCACTCTAACGATAATGGATAATAATAATCTATCCCTTGACTTGCTCCCACCGAGTATGGTGGGGAGCATATATTTTATTGCTATAGCACGAATCCAGCTTTTTCATGCCTCTTTTCCCTAGCAGGCCTTGGATTTGTATTCAATTGTTAGTCTGGTACATGGGTATAGCTCTTCTTGCTTAGAGTATTTAAGAGACACAGGATATCCCCAGAGCCAGACCGTTACTCAGTGGTTTTCAAAACACTTACTGTTTTCAGAAGGGAAGGTTTAAACAGAGACAATGGGATTTGAGCTCTCAAAGGTGCTTTTGAACCTAGAAACCTTTAGAAATGAACTGCATCATTGAGTCAGGAAGAACCAGCACATTTCTGCAGGATTTTCACCAAATTTATATGGTAAACTTCCCATTCCTGAAACCAGGACTGTCGCTGCCAGGAGCAAGCAGAGACCCCTGAAACTCAGCAGCAGTGTCCCATCTCCCACCCATAATATAACGAGAACCTGACCAACTTACAGTTACACAAGCCTTCTTAAAAAATAAAAGCAAATAAGGAAATACCCAAATGAACCCTTGGCAAATATTGATATGCACCCCATTATCAATGTGGTAACTCGAAAGGGAATATGATTAGCAGTTGTGCCAGCCACCCAATGCAAATGCTTTACAGCCTGAAAATTCCAAACTACAAGGTGCTGCTTAACCAGGCCCAAAAGCCCCCCAGTATGCTTTTGCTGACAGCAAGAGGCTGCTGAACAGTACCAGGAACTTTGTTCTGCTTCCGCCTGATAAGGAAACATGCTATACACAGCACATTAATCTCCTTCACTGTATGACACAAAACATTAATCATAACAACTTGCTTCAACCACAATAAAAATACTACTCCAGATGCTTAACCTATGGAGATGTCAAGTCCATGTATCTGCTGATGTTGCAAAAGCTCCACCGCATCCCAGCAATACAGTAACTAAAAATACAGTAGTGACGAGCAGGAACACAGGCAGCTCTTTATTGAAAAGGCTGCAACCTAAGGCCCTTATCCAGTAAGAACACTGGCATTTGATTTTATCAGGTACCTGAAGAGCCATGGTGTAAAAATTTAGAATGTTATAGACAGCTTTTCCTTATTGTGTTCCAAATACTGCAGAGGAGCTGCAGTGGGTACAAAAGAAGGCTATAATGGTGAACAGAGAAATGGAGAATTATGAGATGTCAAAAGCACTTGAGTAGTGCTGTGGAAGTTGAGAGGCAGTAAGAGCAATCTTTAGAAATTCATTTAATTAGCTGTGAGAGAATAATTAAAAGAGAATACTGTCATACATTGGATGTGCCCAGATAATGAACACAGTTAGATTAGATGGGAAATTAAATGAGTGAAGGTCTAGAACTGTCCAAACTGGGTAGTGGGAGTGAGGAGTCAGGCTGCCGTACAAAGGCAGATAGCTCCTATTTTATGAACTTGGATTTAAGTTTTCAAGGAAAAAAATCCCTAATCCTATTCAAAAGAACTTCTCAATACATAAAATTTTACTTGCCAAGAAGCACGTGCGCCAAACTATCAGAAGTTACCCAGGAACCAGTGCTCTGGCCAGAACTGCCCAGGAATTTCATTTCAGCAACCTTGGGCATTGTCCTTTCTGACAGCAGAAAGCCTGAGTGACAATCCCTTTCATAAACCACTATATTAAAAGTTGAAATCACTATTTTGAATGTGTACTGTTATATTTTGGTGACATTTTAGACATGCAGCATATTTTTGCAATCATTCTATGAGCGTAGGATCGGGCACACACCTACACTTCATTTAGTATACAATGCATCCCCAACTCAGAGGAGATGTACAGAAAATATTGTGCCCCTATGTCATTCCTGATTAGCCCATTCCTGCAATTTTAGGGTGGTAAGCTTGGGATTTCCACTGGAGCATGGGTAGTGGCATGTGCCAGGATGCCAGGTATGAGGTGGTGTCTGCAGCACAGAGGTGGCCTACAGGTTGTACCAGGTCTGTTAAAAGTTGGCTGGACCTCAGTGCACAAATTTGAAGAGAATAAAATACAAACAAACCTAGAAAAGGAATTAACTCTCTCTGATTTGCCTTTCCCTTGTTAAGGTCAGCATTTTCTGTAAGAGCTCATTCTGCAAAAGCAATATAAATCAAAACCCAGGAAGAGAGGCAGTGATGGAAGAGCAAATGCTGCAGCAAACGTGTGCACCAACATAAATTAGGGCAATCTGGAGGTGTCCCACAAATCCTACTTGGAGGGTGACAGCAAACACCATCACAACACCCTTTATCTGAGATTTGCTTCATGCTTCCTCCTTACTGCTAGTCACAACGTGATTTCATTTTGATTTTGGTGTTCTGCTAGCACACCAGCACACCTCCTTCTAATAAATCCTTTATTTGGTTTATATGAAGTACCAATATTTGGGTAATAAGAATGATCTTTTCAATCAGATTTTCCTGTCGCTGATGTGAAATAAGGTAAGCATAGAGCAAGATTCTAATATTTGCACGGATGAGAGGAGGTCACAATGTGTTTTCATCTACTCACGCTCGTATTCTCACTGACGTCAAAAGACAGTTTGCGTAAGCAGGACAAAGAAGCAGGATTTAACCCCTCCATCAAAACCTCTGGACATGCTAAATTTGATTGGACTAGAAAAGAGAAAGATTACAGGTGTTTTTCCTTAAGACAATGTTGGTTGCAGCATCAAGAGCCACAGGTTTCCTTCAGGAAGACATCAAGGTCAGAAGGCTTCCAGGGAGAGGGGCAGGAGCACCTTCTGTTAACCTCTAAGAGTTTTGGGAGAGAGATCTTTGTGTTTCCTCTGGATACAAAACCTCTGGATCAAACCAGTTTTTTCATGTTAGATCTGTTTTTCATGATATTGCCATGCCCCTAAAACTTCTAAGGTACAAACACATTAAAAGCTGGGGTAATCATTAGGATATGTGGATTGGAATAAAACAGGATGCAGACACAAATCCAAAGCTATTTTAAGGCTTGTGGTGGTAACAAGAAACTGCAGAGATCCGAGCAGGAGTTCTCTCGCTGCCTCTGGCGAAATGCCCAGTTAAGCCCTGACAACACTCGAGATTTTCAAAAGGGAATTTTCTGTGATTATAGCAGAAAACACACTTGGATGCTCTCACATCTTACTTTGTGCACCACTTCATCAGAAAGCAGAGGGCTGGGCTTATTCCTGTTATTAAATGACAGAATTATCATCTTCTGAGCTTCGCTGTCACTGATTTTTAATTTACATTTTACATTTGGATGCTGGGGAGGGACTCTTCGTCAGGCACTGTAGCAATAGGACAAGGGGTGATGGGTTCAAACTGGAACAGGGGAAGTTCAGGTTAGAGATAAGGAAGAAGTTCTTTACTGTGACGGTGCTGAGGCACTGGAACAGGCTGCCCAGCGAAGCTGTGAATGCTCCACCCCTGGCAGTGTTCAAGGCCAGGCTGGGCAGAGTCTTGGGCAACACAGTCTAGTGTGAGGCATCCCTGCCCATGGCAGGGGGTTGGAACTGGGTGATCTTAAGGTCCTTTCCAACCCAAAGCATTCTGTGATTCTATGATTTCAGATGCAGGTAAATAGTCATTGTCACAGTAAGGTTTCTGCTGAAGTTTGACCAGAGCAACTGTTCTAAACTATCAATTACACATACCAAAATGCAAATACTGAGACCAGCCCCATCCTTCCTAAACTGATCCCAAACAAATACATTTAAAAATGCACAACATGATGTCTCACAGGCTTGTACAATCCAAAAGCAGAGAGCTGGAAATGCAACTTGATTCTGAACCAAATTGTGCTTTAGCATGTGCTGTAGGATAATTGAGTTGTCGTTTCAAACCAGAAACCGAGTACAGGGAGAATTTAAAAAACACTGACCTTTCTTTGCTAGATTACTGTTGGGTTCATACTTCTCAATCAGCTGTTGAACTTGTTCTTGTTTTAATGGTGGATAGAGGATTTCATTTAATCGTGGATCACGTTGCTTAAGATTGATAAATTCCATCATTTGATCAACAGTAAGGTATGGTTTGCTCTTGGCACCACTAGAGAAAAATTAAAGCAACAGCAAAGCCATTTAAATACATTTCCTTGAAATCTTGTTCAATGTAACTTCCCAGGGAAACAAACAAGATTCAAACGCTCCTACAACAAAAACACTGTCCTGCTGTGCCTCTGGACTAATTTACTTTGCCAGCATGCAACAACAAACATCCTTCAACAAACATCCAGGAGTAAGACTTTTAAAAGCGTTCAGCATTACTGACATCAATGGGAAGAGTCAGAGCAATGCTAAAAGCTTTTCATTCCTCTGAAGTCCTAGAACTAAGTGATTTAAAAGAGTAAAAGAGAAAACGACGTGGAATTCAATCCTCAGCTTATTCCTGGCTCAACTATTGGTTTTGCTGCTGAATAACGACAGCCCCGATTTCATTATTCTAGTATTTGCTGGGTTTTTTTCTCTCTTTTTATAAACCTGTTAAAAAATGCCAGGCACTCTGCAAAGCAAGCACGAAAGATGCCTATATAAAGAGTTAGTAAAAAGAGCAGTGTTTGGGTATAATTGGTACCCAGATGGAGACCCAGGAAGCCTCCAAGCCAGGTGACGTGCTGAGGGTTGTCTACAGCACTTGTGACTGGCCTACTTCTGCTCTGAGAGACAGAAAGAGAAGTCTACTCCCAGGTTCAATGGGAGCAAACCAGGCCAAGGCTGCGTCCCTCTGAAACCTCAGCTTAGAGAAAAAGAGTGTAAAAGGAGTACATAAGCACACTCATGCTGTACAGGTAAGTTCACTCATTGCTTTGGTGGTCTTGGGATGCATTTTGGAAATCACTTTGCTTTCATATTGCTTCCCATTCTGATGTCATTGCTCAGGCTCTGCTGAAACTGGGAAGTACGATGACTTGCTGCAAGGGGCAGAAAGATCACAAGTTACACAGCTTGTAACTGAATGGATGAAATCAGTTGTAGCTGGTTGCTAATTTAATTTCAGGGTGTGAATTCATGATGCACAAATCCTAAAAGTTACTGCATTTTTTGCAACTCCTAATGGAGCTTTTGGGGGTGATTATACATATTCTCATGCCTATTGCATGTTGTTACTGCTTAATACTCTTTTTACTGTCATGGAAGCCTACAAAAATCGAATCCATACAGAAAAACAAGACCCTGCAGTTCTGCTCCTCTAGGAACAAACTACTTTAAAACTCCAGCAATTAGAAATGGAAGCAAAAGCCTGGGAAAGAACCCTTGATCCAAGGTTAAATAACAGCCCTGCTTGACATTGAAATCTGTTCTTGGCAATCACGGCATGCTGCTGGAGTCTTAATAACCCACTTCGCCATCCCCATCCCCAGAAAAATCAGTGAAGGTGTAAATAAATAATGAGTGTCTTTTCTTACAACTCCGAAAAGATGTGGTCGATCTCAGGCCGAGGGCAGAGGTTGTTCAAGAACACCCTGTACACGTCTGGTGTGAAGTCATCTTGAGGGATTGAATCATTCTGTGAAATGGGGAAAAAAATCAGTGAAAGAACAATACCAACATCTATATGTTCTTTGTAAACAGATCACTCAGTTCTGTCCTGCTTCTGATTTCCTTCCTGCAACCTAGATGAGCCCAGATTTTGCAGAATAATAAATTCCCCTGGATAACAGAGCAGCTTAGAGAGTACGTCTTCACAGAACATACAAATAAGTCTTATCCTCTCAGTTTCCGTAAGGCAAATTTATCACTTTCTCTGAGCACCTGTAAAGAAAAAAGGAAGGACATCTCCCCATCTAACCCCCTTATCTATAGCATAAATAGGTATTTCAGTCCTGATGAAGGCTCTGAGCTCCCTCCCAGCAGGGTGGCTGGCCAGCAAAGCTCAGCCCATGTGCTTCAGTGAGCATAATCACTGTGAAGCTGTGGCTGCCCCATCCCTGGCAGTGTTCAAGACCAGGTTGGACACAGGGGCTTGGAGCAACCTGCTCGAGTGGAAGGTGTCCCTGCCCGTGGCAGGGGGTTGGAACTGGATGAGCTTTAAGGGCTTTCCAACACAAACTATTCTATGATTTTATGAAAGCAAACTAGCACAGAAGCTTGTATTTTGTGCAGAGAAAGCCTTAAATAAAGGAACAAGAAAAAGGAAAACACAAAAAACATCCGATGCAAATACTGAAAATCTGATTTTTGAGTTTCCTCCACACAAGCTACCTTTATCAAAAGCTATGACATGTAGTCTCCAGTAGCACCATGGGCCCATGTGACACCTCTCCACAGCTCCAAAATAATGTCCAAATCTGATAAACTGGAGGAGGAAGATTGTAACTTGGACACAAAGCCACATGCTTTCAAACACCATTGAACCTGGTCGTCTCAGAAACAAACTGTTGATAAGGGAAATCATTGCTTTTACTTATTCTGCCTGTTTAATGCTGTTGCCAAGGGAACCAGAAGCATTGTGGCAAGCCTTTGTTAGATGGAAAGAAACTTTTCTTATTTTTCCTGCTTTAGGTTAAATTAAATAATGAATGGACGCCACAGGGATCGCTTTATCTCTCTGTTCATCTATGAAGCCTTTAGAGGCCCAAGTAGATTCTGTACTGTGACCATAGCTCTGCAATCACTGACTGAACCTGACCCAGCTCATGCTCAGACCGAGTTGGGCTGTTTTGCTGTGCACCTGGGTACCCATCTCCAGGCTCCAACCATCTAAAGTCACCAACCACTAGCCCCTTGTGCCTTCCTCTTATTGCCATGTGAGTGGCTGCAGGGTGAGCTGGTTCTAAACTTACCCAGCCAAAACAACCCCACGAACTTCTCTCTGGGATCAGGTAACTCACCAATAGCACAACTGCTAAATCCAGTGCAAGGGGCAATGGAGAAGTTTGAAACCTGGAGTTGGAGGATGGAAATAGCTCCTTTCAGTGAGAGCTGCCATTGACACTGAACTGTGTGTGAACTGCACTCACTACACTTTAATTTGATAACTGTGCTGCTTTTTGTTAAGAGCAGCACTGCTGGTACTTGTGTTTTCCTAAAGGCCTTTGTGAATCCTAAAGCATTCACACAGCTTGTGAATATTCTTGTTAAGCTGGCACCCCACTCTCTTGTCTCTACCTATAATCCCTATTCAGCAGGGTACTGCTCCTCAGCAAGTGCTTCTCCTAAGGGCATTTTAAATGTTGGTTGTGTAATTACCACAGAATTATTCCTTTACAGGGATTTGAAGGTGTTCAACTGAACAAAATATGGGTCTTTCCCAGTAACCTGAGATCCAGGCTTTTATTTGCTACTCAGCTCCAATTCAGAAAATTATCTCAGTTTCCCAACACGTCACCAAACACGCATCCACAAAGGGGATAACGAACACAAATCTTGAAGCCTACAGAACCTTTTAATTATTAATTATTTTTATGGGTTGGAACTAGACAAGCTTTAAGGTCCCTTCTAACCCAAATCCACTCTATGGTTTCCTACCAGTAATGTAGCCAGTGGACTACAAAACAGAGAGAGCTAGATGGGAGACGAAAGCTGGTCCCAAGGGATTAAAATGCACTGCCCCATTCCTCAGCCTGGTCTAAGCAATCTACGTTTCAGTGGAACCACCCAAAAACCTTATGTGCTCATCTCTGGTTTTGAGACAAATGAACAAATCACAAACTTTCTCTACCACGTGAGAGCAAACCTAATTTCCAGCTTTGCTGAACACTGGCATTCGATTTTATTCTGTGGTTTAGACTCTGCTAATTTGAAGCACTGTTGATTTATGATTTGTCTGGTAACCTGCCTGCTTTTGTAACATCTGTATCCAGTCTGTTACATACAGTTGGCAGCAGAACAGCTAATTCAGATTATTTGCAGACGCAGGACTTGATAGCTGGTTGTGTTATTTATGTTAACAGTCAAACTCATGGGTGCTTCATTGTGAACCTCTACATTAACTGGAAGGCAGAAAACAGCCTTCACAGCCAAACAGGCAGCTAAAATAAAGCTCTTCAAATTCTATTTAAGGCACCTTTGACTAAAACCAAAACAAACAAAAAGCCCCTCCCCTTCCCCCAAAGTAGCCAAGATTTAAAGAAAATCACAGGGGAAGCAGATGCCAAACTCCAAAACTCATTGGCATATTTTAAAACTTAATTCAAACATTTATTTAAACATTCCTCTGCCTCCAGATCTACTGGACAACGAATGCTGCTGAAAATCACATCACACAGGGCTTGGATTCTACACTTGCCAGGTCCAACCCAGAAATACATTAAGTAACTAAGTCCATGTTTTGAAAATGGGCTTGACTTGGGTCATCATTGGGTGCAGTCCTGCTCAGCTGAATCAGGGCTGGAGCACTCAGCACTGCAGTGAATCCATCCCTTATTAAGGGCCCTAAATATGCAATAAAAAAGTTCATTTTTGGCATTTCTGGGGAGCCTCTCTCATGCTCTCTTCCACAGCAGGATGAAGGCAATGAGACCTCTTCTCCTCTCACATTAAATGCAACTCCTACACGTTGTCTCACGAGGTTTTCTGAGGAGCACACACACAGGGAACACGCTGAAGTGCAGGATAGTGGACGCTGAAGTTTGTACTGTCACAGAGAAGCCCATGAAGCTATAAGGTACCCTGGCAGCACAGCTCAGGCTGCCCTGTCCTCAAGTCACTGCATAAAATAGGTGAGTGACTGTCCCAACCTTGAAGCCATGAGTCAGGAAGAGAGTGATAAATGCTGACTTGGGATCTGTTTACCCATGACCACAAAAATCATTTTGTTTTTTAGGGTGATTCCCAGGTTCTGAGAGGTGCAGCAGAACACCATGTGAAATTCAGGCCCACAACCCCCGTATCTTCCTAAAGCAATGAGAGGTATGGAAACATGGGGAGAAATCTTTAGAGGGATCTTCATGAGGTATGAATACGAGAAACCAAGAAGCCCAAGCTGTTGATGTCCATGAGAGACTTTCACAAAGTCTCAGAATAACTTGGTGATTTTGTTGAGCAAGATTCCCTGATATATATTCAAGTCTTGCATGTGTTGGAGTCCAGTGCTCTTCCAAGGCTCTACAGGAACACCATTTGTCCTGCAGTACAGCAGGGCAGAAAAGCTCCAAGTTGAAGCTAAGAATTTTACTTGTTCAAACAAACAGGAACACAAAGGAGAAGAGCTGCAGCTGAAGTGCTGATTTTCTTCTGCTCTATAACCTCTATGAGATTTAGAGTTTAATGCTTCTTAAGCACTTGGTTTCTAAAACATTTTTTTTCAAAGCTGCTCAAAACAGCTTTCTCTTTGTTGCACGAAGTGTATTTCTTTTCTGTCCCAAGCACAGAAAGGATCTGCTTTATACTATGAATAATTTTCAAGATGGTATCCCAGCAACAAATATCCAGCAATATGCATGTAAAATTGGTTCTACTTAAATAAACAGCAGAAAAAGGTGCAGTTTCTTTCAAGGACTCCAGTGATGTTTAGGTTAGTCTTTTTTCCCAGAGATAGGTAGTAAACAGAAGTGATAAATCAACTGATTTCGAAAGCAGCACTTCAGAGATGTTTTGCACATCTTGTCCTGTCGGCTAACAATGAAAATTCATCCTTAAAATTATTCTTTCCATGTTTCTAACCTCATGACCTTGCTTTAGATAAGGTTATTATAATACTTTATACCTACTTTACAGATATTCCTTGAAATTTTACGGAATTAAGCTCCAAGACCTATGAAGGAAGTCTCATTGGTGAGCAGAATCTGAGGTTTGGCTTGTGAAGATCTTGTTTCATTACTTTTCTGGAGCTGTAGGAATTGGCTCTGTTAAACCATCGGGGAAGCAAATATTGAATGCATATCACAGAACAGTTTTCTACAAGAGCAAGGGATCAGGAGATGCGAGCTCTCCTCTACCACAGACTAGTTCTGCCTCACTTCTTGTCTCTCCAGATGTAGGAGTAATCCTGTAACAAGCTTTTTAGAGGAGAATCTCCACCTGGGAGGAGAGACTAAGGACATCTTCACTCCAGGGTTAACTAGAATCACCTTCTTGAGCTCATTCCTCTTGAAAAAAAAGCCTTCCTGAAGGTGAGGTACCATCCTGCAAATGCTTCAGGTTGAGAAGATATCCTGGATTAGCAGCATACAATGGCTCCATCCTCACAGCAGTAACAACTGATGCTAGAGCATTTCAACATTTACTCCATCCACCTTTCAGATAAGCTACAGTGAGTTTAAACTGTGACTTATCTCAAGCTATAGATATTTCTGTGAGAAGGAAACAGATTGCCCCATTAGCTACACCTCGAGCTAACACTGCTCTGAAATCATGCCTTGAAAATGTGCAACTGTCTTCAGAGTCTTAAATATTCTCACAGGACTCTCCAGGAGAGGCTCCACAACCCCCAGCCCTTCCATTTCATCTATTCACACTTCTTCCAGGCACTTCTGGTCCCCACACGGTATCAGATCAAAGGTACTCACATTTGCAAGTGGGTTAACAGGAACTTGTGTGGGAAAGAGACCGGCTGCTGAGGACCTACCAAGGCCAGCACAGCACGATCGGTCTCAGACAAACTGTCCTCAGTAGAGAGTAAATGCCACTGAATATAAGCAACATGTTGTAAGGCCCAGGAATAAATTCAGATGCTTACCCTGGAAGATGGAAGATTACAAGCTTCTAACGCGGTCTCTACCCGTTTTCTGTCAGCCGAAAACAAGCGGTATATGCTGCAAAATGAAGCCAAAACAGAGGGAATTAGCTTCAAGGCATGCCTTGACAGCCCATGGGGCTTAACAACTGAATAGCACTTCACAGTCTATCAGGTCTTTAGCTACTTATTTCCATTTGTTGGCTGCTCAGTAACACAAGCGAGTTTAATGGTGCCCACAATGAGTTTAACTCTACCCAACACAAGCTGCCAGTAGAGCAGATAGTTGAGAAAGTCACCACTGATTTCTTCGTATTCCCCAGTGACATGCAGTTTGAACATACTCATCCTCACAGCATGTCTCTAAGGTAAAGAAATTATGGGGTTTTTTTTATTATACACAAGTGAAACGAAGAAGGGCAGAGAAGCTAAATGTCTTGCTTGAGATGAGAAGGGCAATCTAGCTCAAAGGGTACTTGAATAGACATATCCTGATAGTCACAAGATACTCTCCTGCAGTACATGTTATAAACAGATGATCAAATTATTGTTCTAGACACAGAGGTCACATGTACACCCCAAACACATATGCACACTCAGAAATCACAAGAGATTACATGGTAAGGAGGGGGAACAGAACTTACTTCTTCAGAGGAATGCGCCCTTCTGGAGTCACCTGCAGCTTAAGTTTCGTGTAACTGTGAAGAGAAAAGCATCCTGGTTTATTCTGACAGCATCTTCAAGTACTTCTCCACCACCTTTATAGCTCAATGCTAGTGCTCTGACCACATGGAAAGATTCACTCAGCTTTTTTGCCAGTACAAAAACACATTGGGATATCATTAATACCTTTTCCTTCAACAGTAATGCAGCTGCAGTATCAAATACTGTCTGTGTTGCAACAGGACACTGTAAATAGGATTAAGGTACAAATTTATCCTCCCTCCAAGCTCCTTCTCCCCGAGGCTGCCTACCAGTCTATCAGCAGATTAGACTGCCACACAGCTACACAACTTGACTGTAAAGGTGGTTGTACTCCTCTTCCAGAGGCTGAAATTGTCCCGGGATGTTGCACACCAACATCCCTGCCTCCCTAAGCCCTCCGCAAAACACTGCTGTGAAGGTTTCTCCATTTGACCCTAGATGTCATCACTCCTCAGCTGGAAGGAAGTCAAATTGCTGGCAACTGAAATATCTCTGCACTACCAAGAGTGTCAGTACATTCAGCAGCCCTGGGCAAGTCCAAGACATTTCCAGTATGAAGCAGGATAAAAATTACCTGCTGATCCATCCAAAGGCAGGCAATTATCCAGCTTTTGAACTGAGTATTTAGAGCATCTCAATATCTCAGGACCTGTGACTTCTCTCACATCCTCATTAAGGCAGCAGGATGAGGATGTCTCTATCTTTGTCCAAACCATTCAACATACTGATTCAAAGCCTACTGAAACAGGAGTCATCCAGCAGCTTTAATGAGAAGCAGTTGGGCCTACAGCTGCGATCTGATGTTCCCCTCACTATGTGAGGACTACCGGTTACCAGCACAATGTCTACCAGCAGCAGCCTGCAAAGAGCATGATCTTGAGTGCTTTGTGTCTTCCCCTTGAATATAACTAAAACTAGAAATGAGTTTTGCAGATATATAAACTGGTAAAAAATGTGGCAACACTTAAGCATTTAAGAGGATTTTAAAAACTTTTTCACTTTACCCACTGGCCAGCCAAAAGCAAAAGGAACTGCATGGTTCTAATAAACTCTCCTTTTCTTCCCAACCAAAAATGCCATTAGCAACCGCTTCAAAAACACAGTATGTGCTAAGATCCCTAACTAGGAGAGGAACATTGTCACAGATCCTGGTCTCCTCAAATGCATCTTCTGGAAACTGAAATCTCTTGTGCTGCTGTGTCCACAGACAAAAACATTATCCCCCTGCCCCATCTCCCAGCACTGATCTAGAGTAAAAAGGAAAAATCACAGTGGTTTGTAAAAGAAGGTTTATTTTATTTTCCCTTCTATTTTTTAAGCTTCTGAGTACATTCTGGTCACATTTAGTGTTTTCCTCTACAGCCAAGAAAGCCAGAAATAGAAGAAAATCATGGGAGAGGTTGGAGGGGAGAAGAATTTTGATCTTCAGTTAAAGCAAACTCAAAATGTGTGTCTGAAGAACAGTCAGCCCCCACCAGTACTTGCCACCTTTTTCCCTCCCAAATTCTTTGCTATGCATGGGACACTGTTTTTCCCCTCTGCAGCCATTATCCTTCCATCTAAGAAAACCAAGCATGTTATTCCTGTCAAAAAGCTTGCTAGGAGGAACTCCCATCAGTAGCAGCTGAACGGACTCATTTCAGCAGTGCAGTGCTGACTCAAAGAATGACAAATGCTGATCCCAGTCACCCTTTGCTCATCACTGCACAGGGCAGTATTGCAGTACTAATGTACTCCAGCATCCATTTTTGCACCCTAACACAACCCTACACTACACGGCTACAAAAGAGGAATGAGCCCATTACAACAAAAATAGCAGTTTTTATTAACCAGCCCTTCCTCCAAATTAACCTTATTTTTCTCATCTGACCAAACCACAGGAAAGCAGCTCAAGCTGTTTATTACTGCACTTCCAATGCTGTAAGTGTGTAATATCACAAAGAAAAAAGCCTTCATTCTGCTCTAATGTAATTTTCTTTTCTATTTCAACGAAAGGGTTCTGGCAGGAGTGCACCCAACCCTTTGCTTAGTACAATAATTATAGTGGGGAAATATTTTTAATCTTCTGAATCAAAGATTTCTAAAGTGACTCTGATTTGGCATCTGTGCAGTGGACCCTGGAAACCCCACAGTTCCCAAATGATTCACTAATTAGTGGAAGTTAAAAAAGACACAGGAATGCCATGCTTGGCTCTCACCGAAATCTATGCGATGTGTCCAGTGACTACATCTTTAATTAGTATTACTTGAACAATCACCAAAAAATGGCTCTAAATAAGACTGGCTCTACTTCACTGTGTGATAACATGTTCCTCCTTTGAATCTGGTATGAAAATGCCATTAGGTATAGTCACAATCCTCCCCATTACAGGCCTGTCAGCAAAATCTGCTGGCCACCCAGGGATTTGAGACTAAGAGCCATGGAAATATTAGTAACAAATCACTCCCATAACTCATCTACAGCCTAAGGAGCTGGAGGAAGTGGTCTCTGCTCTTGCTCTCACACCTGGTTAGCACAGTGCTTTCTCCAATGTCAACATGGGGAGCCAACAGGAAATGTTAAATGTTCCCATCCATTTGGGATTTTGTTTGCCTAACACATCGTTGCTGTCCCAACACGGTGTTATCACATACAAAGCTGTCGTTCCTGCAGTGTCCAACCTTCAAAGTTTCTACAAGAAATTCTGTTGACTTCTGCTGCATCTCAACAAGCACTGTGAGAAGGAAACACACGCACCCCTCCTTCCCAGCACAGGCACCTGGGAATATGTATGTGGGATTAAAGTTAAGCAGTAAGGAACCTTCTGACTAAATATGTGCACATCTAATGAAACTAGGCACGCACAGCCATTGGAAGTCCAGAAGAAGGGTGGGTTAACTTGCTTCTTGGATGGAAGCAAGTGTTAGGAACCTAAGCCCCAGCTTGGTACTTAGCCCCTGCCTCTGAGCAGAAATTAAAACATGTTTGGGGGAGACACAAAGTTGGATTTAAACAGCCAACTTTAGGCTGAGGAGGGTCTCTCTCCTCTTTTAGAACCTCCAAAGGCCAGCAAGTACCCCAGCTCATCACCATCACTATCTGGTAGGCTTTGCCATACTGTCCTCAGTGCTATTACTTACCTAAAATTTCCTCAGCATGTGCTTATCAACTACTTAAGAACTGCTAATCTCAGGTTTAGTTCTCTTTCCTTTCAGAGGTTTGTTTTTACACCCCAAATGTTCTCATAAATAGCTTTTCTACTTGGTTGAAAGCAACTTGGAATCTGTGCCCTGGGCAAAGCAATCCAGATGAATGGATGCAATGCTTCCCTCTGAATCACATTAAAGCCAGGGAGATTAGACTGAGGAAAATGGACTTGCATTTCTCATTTTTTGATCAGTAACAGAACAAAAGGGACAATAAACCTGAAACAAATCAGTCTGGAATATTCTTTCATTTTAAACGGAGAGCTTCAGACTGCAAGTTACTACTTTGGTGTACAAGGGGAACATGGCATTTAATTCTGTTTTCTTTTGCTATGACTTAGTACTTTGCAAGAAGCACCCAAACAGGATTTTTGTTTAAGTGACGTTTAGATAACAGGCTTTTTTAAACCCTAAGAAAGGACAAGCCTTTGTTTACAAAAGTGACAACTCATCAAAGCAGAAACAATAGATGACACTGTGACTAAGAAGCCAAGAGGAAAATGACGCAGAGCAAAGAGCAACACCCACAGCATTCAAGCCACTGCGACTTACGCTTTTTCCAGAAACGCATCCCTTGACATGTTCTGTGCCAACAGATTTGTTGCCAAACTGAACACTTCATCTGACCATTCCTACAAAGAGAAAAGTTGATTCAGTGAGGCTTAGTTTAGATGTTTACTTCCACAATGCAGAATAGTTCTGAACATTACATCGTCAGTAAAAAGTGCCTAATTAAAGCCTGAACTTCATCTTTTCCAATTACAGCTTCCCTCCTTGTCTGTGAGACCTGATTTGCTTGTGCTGCAAAGAAATTAAGACTGATAGAAATGTATCTTTAAAAGTATCTTATTTCACTGAACTGAAAAAGAAATAAATCATATGGATAAATGTCTGATGCAAAACACATTCAAGTTCCTGAAGGATGTGAAATAAATGCCCTGGAAAAACACATTTTCTTGTGTGAGTGACACTGCTCTGGTTGACAGGCTGAGGATTAAAAAAGGAGCCTCTCTACCACCATTCTTACAAAATGAAGCTGAAAGGGGCTTAAATCCCTCTGAAGACAAACAGAGCTGACAGGGTGGGATGCAGACCATACCATAGCAAGTCTCTTGTGTCAGCGTCCCCTCTTGTAGGAGTGTGCTGTAAGAGCCTACACACCACACTCTCTACAGGTCATGAAGTGATTCAGACAACAAGTATCACGCCTTATATTTATGGTGGATACCAAATTAAGAACTGTAAGCACTGACTTCACCTTAGCTCTTACAGCCAACATTTAAACCCCCCCCCCCCAACACAGCAGAAATATATAGGAATAAATTCAAATTATTCTGATATACAAGGAATAAGATGCAACTCCAAATAGAAAAGCTCCTCTCCTCCCTACTGCACATGCTTACACGTGGCCCCATCTAACTAAGTTATGTTTCCCTCTTGCTACCTGACACAAGGGGAAATGTCCTCCAGCTGCTGATGGAGGCTTCCCATGGCTCTCCCTCACTTTTCCTCTCTCTATTTTCCTGACTAATTTTTCTCACTTCTATGCGTGTCGCTGAAGTCCTTCCCTTAAGTCTCAGACCTCTCTGGCTTCCCAGCAAGGCTGGAACTCTCACTGCTTGTCCTGTCACTCTCCTCCCTTGCAGGTCTCTCCTGCAGCTTTTCATTCACAACTTCAGTGCACTTTTCCTTGCTGGCTTGGTGCTTATTTCTAATCCTTAATTGCAATCCTTCTAAATCACAACTGCAGTTCTGCACTGGCTTTCACTCCTTTGAAAGAAAGGCACGAAAACAAAGAGTGCCTTTGCAAAGAATGTGAGGTTTAGTTTTTTTTAACTTAAGTTTTCTTTGAAATCAAAATTGAGTTTCCTTTCATTCCAGTCCAGATCCAAAATCCCCGTTGCCACAGCCTCTCTTTGGGAGTCATCCACTCTCCCTGGCTCTTCTTGTTTGAGGACAGATACAAAAAAAGGGTGATTTCATTCTGACAAAAATTGATAACGATGGAAAGCACCACTGACTCCTAATGAAACACATGTTGCTACATCACTTTGGAGCTTGTTTTACCTAAAAAGCCCTGGGTTTCCACCTGAGTAGGTGACTGATTTGAGAGAGGTTCAGAAGTTATAATGTTTTCTTGGTTTTTTAATGTGCTAAAGTTTTCTCCCTGAAGTTACCAGATCTTGATCCCGAAACTGGTGTCACACAGTCGCTTCCAGAAAGGAGGAGATAAGGCCACCTACACACCTACTGTTACACAGGTCTCTGACACCCTTCAGCTATCAGATCCTTAAGTCCACCCCATTTATAACCTCACCCCTGAGCAGCTGCGACAACACATCTCCTCGTACTGCTATTTCCGGCTGAGAAACCTTCCTCCCTCAGCCACAGCCTTATTGTTCTGGAGGCAACCACTGTGCTGAGCTAGCCCTCCCCTCCACCTCTCGTGACCACTTCCATTTTGCTGCTTTAATTGTTTTTCCTTCTCAGGTCTAATCTGAAAAGCCAGGGGTGTGAGAAAGAAGAGGAGTCGGGTTCATTAGCAACACAACTGCTTTGCTGTGACTCTTGGAACAGAAAGTGTATTAAGGGCAGCATCTGTTTTTCTTCTTGGCAACTCACTTTTCCAGGCTCAGAATAGGCTCATCTTGTAAACACTGTTTTGTTTAGGCACTAATAATAGCAGTTAAACCTTCTCCCTATGACACTAACGGCTGCAGAGATTATTGGCAATATAAATGATGATTTAGACATTAAAAATATGTTGGCTTTTAACTAATCTTGATAAACTTTGTTTTGATCTTACTGGTTCTGCTGGGCTTAAAACTGAAGTATTTTGTAGAACACAGAATTGGGGCACTTCAGGAGTATCCCACAACCTGGCTCTTCCTTCTCTTTGTCCGAGTGCTTGTTGACAGGAATGCAAGAGGAACTAAGTTATTATGTGCCTCTCACAAGCACTATTTGTATAAACAGTCTTGCCATGTTCCTTTGCTAGCTTTTCCTGGCTCTTCAAAGTGATCACATTGCTCTTGCCAAATATTCTAAGGGCTACTTACAGGCTGAGCCATTTCTGACAATGTAGATGCCAAGTCAACAATACTTGCTCACTGCCTCTCCCACTTTAGGGTCTTAATTCCAGCCACCACAGAGCCACAGCCAAAAAACCAAGGTCAGAAAATAAGCCAAGGATCACATCATCTTTCCAGTCAGTGGTCTGAACCCTCAGCAGGAGGGGGAACAAGAGCCCTGAGCACAGGCTCACCGAAATAAAGGAGATGCACTGGACTGACTTTGATGGGCTTGCACCAAGCTGTGAGCCAAGATGCGTCTTGCTGCTTCAGCTACCAAATGGCTCTGTTTCCTTGGGTTTGCTGCACGATACAGAGCAAAGCCCACACTCTAACCCCAAGCACGCTGTACCCTGCAGCCATCTTTACCAGCAGCAGCAATTCCAGAAGGCAGCTCCTGGTGAGAGCGCTCCACAGGGTGGAAAACTGTTACGTGTAGAAAGAAAACAGCCTACTGTGGAAAGGTTATAGCAGCCTCCTGTACAGCAGCAACAATAGGAAAATATAAATCTGGGTATTTTGAAATAAGACTGTACTAGTGCCAATAAACTGCAGACTGGAAGGCTCTGATCCGGTTTGGTAGCGGAAGAACCCAGCCTTCCACCATTCAACTCCAAGCAAGTCCCATCCATCATGGTAAGAACTCTCTGAACTCGATCTCCTCTTGGCTACGTCCTGTTACACTAATTCGTATTTATATCATTCCTGTGAACTTTAACAGATTATTTAACTGTTCTATGCTTTGGCAGGTAGCGTATAAGCAGCAGTTCATTTGGAAATCTGTTGCTCAGTGAAGTAATTCCTCTATTACATGCATCAGGATACATCGGGTAAGACATTTATCTCAACAGAAGCAATGAGATCTTTTTCCTGAGAAAAGACAGCACACGTTCTTGAAAACACTTCTTTCAAATCAGAAGTGACTCCGTGTGAAGGCAGTGTTTCTTGCACATTTGTTTTTGGTGGGAGGTTAACAAAGCAAGCTCCTCAAATTCCACACTTTCAGCATCTTTACGAATTTTAGTTAAAAATGCATCAAATGGATGTGAACTTATACAGTTTGTTTTATCATTTTATTATACTAATCGAGCTCTCATATATGTCAGGGAAGTTGGACAAATAAAAATGTATGCTGGAAAGCAAAGTATGGCACAACTTTTGAATCACCATTGATGACATCATTTCATTTACGGAGGAATTCATCATCTCTTAGTGATGAATCTTATCCAAAGCTCATCAAACCAAGGAGAAACAGATTTCCTTGGCCTCTAGATAAGCAAATGGCCAGGATGGATTAGGGTGGTGAGACAGAGTTGGCGTGAGAGGCACAAAAGAAAGTGAGAGGAAAGAGATGGGAAAGATGAGACATTCACTTTTGAAGTTCATGGATTTGGGAAGAGAATGAAATCCTGTAGAGCAAACACAGATGTTCACAGGTTGGATGACTTCATGTTGGGAACAAAGGCAGAAAAAGAGCATCTGCTCAGAATGGGGTTTGACAATAAACTTCTTCCTTTATCCTGGCTTCTGCAGCTCTATGTGTATGGACAGTCACAAATCCTGTTCCATGACAGGCACAGGAACACCCATCTGAAAATAAGCAAGCACCATATCAGTGCTACTTCTCTCCATCATCAAGACATGTCCAGCAACCTGCCTATTAGACCATTACCTAATGAATTTCAAGCTGCATTCTTGGAACAAACCGGCTGCACAGTGCCCTTCAGCTCATCACTAATGTACTTCAAACATTAGTTACTTTCTCCTGGAGGAATGCACATAAAACAATACAATGTGACTGTGTTGTCTGTTCTATCTTTGTTTTTGGTTTATTTAAAGCAAGTTGAACAGACCAAGGCTCCTATTTTCATAACTTTCCCACAACTTGGCCAGTGGATGTGACGAACAGAGTCTGTAGCATCATAGGAAGCCTCCTGAAGAGGAGGAAACCCCCATAATTAAGGAATTTTAGCTGCCTCACTGTGATCATTGAAGTTTACTTCGCCTTTCTCCTCCCAAGAAAGAACTGACTGATACTTGTCACACAACTTGAAAGATAAGGTATCGGAAATGAAGAGTTAATCCAAATAATATTCATGCACTGAAAAAGGAAAGGTGGGGGAGTTTTTCCCTGACACTTGCTTTCCCTGGAATGTCAGCAACAGGAAGGGTCAAAATCTGCATGTGTGATGTTGAAAACGTTCTGTATTCACATGCCTTCTCCGAGCTCCCTGAAGAGATGATCTGTGCCTCATGTGCTTATTTATTACGACTTCTCTGAGTCACTACATGAGTCCTGGAGATAAGGACCAGATTCTGTGGTCTGGCTTATGCAAAGTTGGAAAACATGTTAAAAAAGGAAGAATTTTTAGATGCATTCAATAATGATCAAAACTCGGTTTTCACTGAAACAATCAGGATACTTTGTGTGATCTCAGAGCAAGCACAGCTAATCTGCAGTGCTTTGAAAATCACATCTTGAGGCCACTGTGCCTGGCTGAGAAAATAGTAATTCATTTGGTCCACCGCATTTACAAATAACAAGGAAGATTTAGGTTCTTAGTTACTCAGATTGTAGGAGTTACTCAGGATTTAAAGCAGCCAAGCTTTTCTAAAACATGATTTTATCTCCTGTATTTTAAGGTTTCATTATCAAACAGAAAACAGCCCTAAAATACCAGTTTCTGCACTGTGCTGGCCAAATGATTATAGCTCGACTGATTGTAGGCTAGGCAGCAAAGCAAAAAAGAGGAAAAAGGCTTCTGATTTGGATGATTCGCCCATGGTAAGGGCTAACAGTTGTTGCTAGTAAAGCTTTAGCATACCTTCGCATCTCCCATCATGGGCTTAGATAGTTGTTTTTTCCTCACTGAAGTGTTGTTTCAATCGTTTTCACTTTTACAGTGTTAAGATTTCTTAACCACCCTGTGCAGTATAGCTGCGTGTTTTCAAGGCCGGGGACAGCACTTCCCACTCAGCAGTCCACAGACCACCACAAACTCATTTTGTTTCTGTTCTTTCATACCAGTGAGACAGTGGAATTTGTGTTTTTGCCAAGCTGACCAATTGGCTAATGAAGATTAGCAAAGACAGAAACCTGGCAAGCAAAAATATATCCTCCTTGCTCAAGACTTTCATCCTGTGACCATTTTTCACCAGCCTTGTTGCCTGTGAGGTGACAAAATAACTCAGTACTATTGTTAAATAACTGCAGTCTACACAGAAACTATCATTTTAGTGCAATCTAGTGGACTTGAGGATGCAAACCATGTTAAAGTGTGTTCTGTGTGTGGTTATCTGTACGAATAGAAGCGGAAAGAGGAGTAGCTTTTCAATGTCAATTTGGAATAGATAAAGCAAAGAGCTCTCACTTCAATAAATACAGCAGACTTGTTTAGAAATTGGAAGAAGGGGGAAAAAATCCCAAAGAAATCAAAACCAAAAGATGTATTAATATCAACTGGAACTTGCTTGGAACAAACAGCTGTGTGGTACGTTGGACAGAAAGGAAGGGACTGTATACCTGCATGGAAAAAGTACTTTGCTAAGGTAATGACACCGGCTACGTGATTCTTATCAAAGGGCTATCAGTAGGCGAAATGCAATGCTTAAAACTGACCTTTGAATATGAACAGGAATGTTTATGTGTGTGTTAAACAAGGTGTCTGCTGACTACTTGAGTGTACAAGGTAGAACTGTAGATTCCCACTACTCTGATATGGCCAACCTTAAAAAGTCAACCAGTTATAAACTTGGTTCTCACAGATGATTCTATAATTCACATACACTTAGAACAAGCATAAAAGGGTGATAACTACTGAAAGATCCCAAGATGTGTTTGGAAAGTCACTACACGCATCTCATCGCTGAGTAAAAATTTGTGTGTACCATTATTTTCACAGTGTGTGTGTGTGATTTACAGCAATGTTCTGAAGATGAGCACAAATACCAGGGGCACAAACTTTGATAAATAAACTCCCTGGAAAAGAATGATTGCACAATTCCTCTTTGGTGCTGAGCAGCACAGCTCTGCAACAGAACTGAGGTTCATTTCATAGCAATCCACTCATCTCATTTATCTGTACCTCAAACTAACACTTTAGAAACATTAATTTTATATGACACAGATGAATGTATATTACCTTTGCTATATCCTCCTGGAATGCCACCAAGTTCAAGTACGATATATTGACCAGGTCTGGGCCATAGACAACAGTTATCATTCGATTTTCCAGGCGACCTCCTGCGTTCCCAGCATCCAACAGCTCACGCAGTTTGGGATCCTGCAAGTAAACACATTGCAAAATAGTTAAACTTCTGCAAATACTTATACCAAAGAAGTGATTATTTTTAGACATACTTCAATTTTGAAAACTTATATTATTTCAAGCAATTTAAACATGATGGTGCCAGTTTCTGATACAGTTAAATAGTTATTAAAACAGTTAAAGTTATTAACACAGAATAAAATCACTACCGTAAATCCCTCAAAGCCTTTGAGCTCTGTCTTGCAACAGTACAGACTAAAAGCTGTACAGTTGATGGCTGCACATTCCTATTTGCAGTTATTTTTGCCTCAGAATTTAAGCACACATAAACTGTTCTGCTTGTCAAAACAACACAATCTGTCCAAAGGCTACTGGCCTTGGCAGAGAGATTCTCTATGGTTTTAATGGATTTTAGATAAATCTTAACATGAGAACTTCGGTTTTCCTGAGGAATTAAGAAGACTGGTTGGAATTAACTGTCAAACACTATGAAATGATAATGGAATTTTTGGTGATGCCCTTCCCTTTCTTCTCCATGTTCAAACAGTCATGTATTATTTAAATTATGAGATATATCCCATTTATATTTAATCTTTAGCCTTTTTTTTTTTTTCAGGTCTATATTCAATATAGAACAACAGAATAATTCAGCCTGGAAAAGACCTTTAAGACCATTGAGTCCAACCACGAACCCAGCACTGCCAAGTCCACCACTAAACTGTGTCACTAAGTGCAACATTTACACATCTTTTAAATACCTCCAGGGATGGTGACTCAACCACTTCCCTGGGCAGCCTGTTCCAATCCTTAGTATAGCAATGACTACATAACATTTCTGTGAAGGAAAGATATGTTCAAAGATTTTTATCAGCTAATAATAGCCTGAACCTCAGCTTCATTGGTAGCATGCGAGACAAATTTCAGGTTATTTTGTGACGCTACTTATTGCTATTAGGGTGCAGCATTTCCAAGGAATGCACTCAGTGTTTTTCAAACTAAGAAAACTGCTTGGTCCTTGGCCTCAAGATGAAGTTTATAAAGGCAAAAGACAGATGAAAAGAAGCCCTGCATGACTGACTTCAATCCTTTGAATGGGACAAGTATAGTTTGAAAGCTCAGGTTTCCTGAAAGGCAATATTTCATTCTGCTACAAATACCAAAAAGTGGCCAGCAAATAGCACCTCTATGGGATGACAGATTCTGTGTAGAGATCAAACGGTTTCAAAACTGACACAAATATATCCTGCAGTTCACATTTCACTCACTTCAACCTCTCCCCCACTGTCTGCATGTTTAGTGTTTATGATACTTCTTAATATTTAATAACTTTTAAATAATCTAAATCTCCACTGACTGTCACAAATTAAGTTCAGTATAACATGATGATAAGCTTAAGATGATAAAAAGGGCTGGTTTTCATAGATCTTGCAGGAAATCCTGTATCAACAAGACATCAGTCTAAAGGGCATCTCCTGATTGGTATCGTATCTGCTTGTAGGCAATGGAATTATTAATATGTTCAACAAATACTTTACAAGGTTTAGGAAAGCATTTTGAAGTATGGTGTATTAACTGGAAAGAAAGGCTGTCTATCACATGATGCTGAGCCTCATTAAATACCGGGTAGGATGGCAAGCGTTGCAGGAAAACAGACAGAATAATCCTATTTGAGAGCTCTGTAAAGAAGGAATATGATTGTGCGCTGAGCCAAAGCCAATTTCACCGGTAAACAAGTTAATGACAGGCTTTCACATACGAGAAAACCAGAAGAGAGATGTAAAAATAGTAGCTGCGCTTCCCAGATGAGGATTTGAATGAGAAAGACAAAGAAATTGTGTAACTTACACTTAGGAGAAAAGCTGGAGAAATGCCCTGAAGACGCTAAGTTAGTGATGTGTATTACTAGATGGGTTACTTTCTCTTCTATTTACAGGCTGAATGCTACAAAGCTTTGTTTCATTTCTCTGGGAGAAGATAACTCATCTGAATTTTACTCTCTACCGTTTCAAACCCAAAATCAGACTGATAAATGCTTCTGCTCAAGGGCCTGTCTGGGAAAAGCATCGTTCTTTCTGAACTCAAACTGAACAGGATTGTCTATCTGGTTTCATTCTTTCATATAATTGTCATTCCTTTCTTCCTTGCCCTGGCTGAACCTCTTGCTCGCTCAGTGATGAACTGCAATCAATATCAACAAAAGAAGAAAGAAGATAAACCTTTTGCTTTTGTATTTATAGTCAGCTACAGAATGTCTCTATGATGGATCACGCTTTAGTTAGTCTAAGACACGAATTAGCCATGCATCACAGAACAAAAAAGAAACATATCTGAAATGGGATGCTTCTTCCAAAGGGAATTCATCAAAAGAAAAGTTACCTGGGACTGACTCAGTAAGGCTGTTAAAAGTGCAGAGTAAGTGGCCAGTCAGGCAATATGAGTATGAATTTGCTTTTCCAAATCACAGGATTTTTCTCCAGATTTTAAAGACAAGAAATGAGACCATCCTCTTCGGGTACCTGGGTTTGGATGAGTAAAAAGTTGAATTTTTCTATCCTCCAAGACTTGTCTATGACAGTTTGAAGCACACGGTCCTTTACAGCAATACATTGGCTGCCACCCAGAACCCGTTAATAAAAGACACAAACTGCATATCCTGGGCTACCTCAGTGTAATCTGCCATGTGCTCCACAGACTTCAAATAGACACTTTTATTAGAAGTTCAGTGAAAGAGAATAATTTTGATACTAACAGGATTCACATCCTTTTTCACCCCTGCCATGAGTGTATGTGCCCTTTAAGGATGACAGATGTATTTCCATTTGCCAGTGACAACTTAGCCCTTAGCTTACGATCTAGGTCATATTATTTGGTCCTCGAATCTGAAGTACTCTAATTGAGATACCAACACACACTGTCAGCTCTTCACATTCCCCACGAACAGCTCTAGTCCCTTATTACCACCCTTAGCTGCAAACGCTACTAAGAGGATGAGCAAAATACCCTTTATCAAAATCTTGAAGACTACTGAAGGTCTATGAATCAAAGCCCTTTTTAAAATGTCAGCAAGTTTTCCCGTGGAGATGATAGGAAAAGGACATGGAAAAAACCCAAGCAGCAAGACTATATTTAAGCCTTTTTATGTAAATCGGATTATTTTGATTTTGATAATTCCATTTTGAGGAACGAGACTGAAAGTCTGCTGCTGTTTGGAGCTGCATTCGATATGCTGGCTCACAAGTGGACAGATTGGTTTTTGGCATAAGCTCTTTGCTAGGCTGGGGCCGTATTATGAACAAATTAAGCTTCTCAAGAGACATTCAGCAGAATTGTATCTATTTACTATTGACTGTAGTCCTTTTCTGAACACCTGAGCTACTGAAGCTCTACCATGTTAAGGAACATAACCATGGGATGATCAGTGCCTAAGTAACTCATCTAAGTTCCCTTTGTAGCACAATGATTTAAGTCTGCATTGATGGTTTCTGACGAAGGAACATGCTTTCGCCTCCTTTACTCAAGGGGTCTGGATGTCACCTTGCTTCCTCCTTTCCTCTAAAGTCTAGCACGAGATTCAGTTCAAGGACTCGAGCTGCCTGAAGATTTGCTCTGAAACCAGGCCAGGAAAGCCAGTTTTCCCAGTGGGACACCTCTGTGGTTATAGGACTGACACATTCCCAAGAGAGATGTAAATTGTGAGCAGAGAAATACAGAGAAGGTGGCAAGGATGGGATTGGCATCCCAGCACAAACACCTTCAGAGTTCATTACAAATCAGATTAACCATGTCATATTGAGGCAAGAGTTGGCCAAAGGACTAGCTGCTCATTTGGTAAAAAGCCTTCCCTATTTAGTCCTGATTTCTTTTGATAGATTTGTCAAGACAAGACACCTTAAATCAATCCAAAACACAGCAAGAAAAGAGAAGAAAGAATAAAATAATAATAAAAATGAAAAAGAATAATAAAAGTTTATGGAATTCCTACAACTTCCATGAACAAATGCTAAATAACGATGTTTTGTTAGAAACCAGGATCCTGTAGACAGATGGATAAAAACAGATTTCAAACAGACTTCCAAAACTTTCTCCTGTTCTGTTTTCCTTTAGTTGGAAATCATAAAAATAACATAAACTTAAAGAGGCTGCTCAGCCACATTAATAACAAGCTCCACAAAGACTGCTTTCAGCTGTGGCTGGTGTTACCAAAACGTAGCTCTTTACACTGAAATCCTAGCACATTACACTAAATGCTGTAACATCTTTTAATAAGTAGCTCCAGCTCTTTAAACTGGTTTCCAAAACCTTGCAGCACTCCATCTGTCTGCAGAAAGTTTCTGCTGTTTTAATACTTAACCATACAGATATCTCTCTCTCTCTATATATATATATATCTGTGTGTATATATACACAAACACAGACAGAGATACAGGTATCTGTATATATGTATCTACAAGGCTTCTGTGCAGGAAAACTCAACCTGAGATTTAAACACGCCACAAGGCAGCAGGTCAGCCAAGGTTTCACCTCAGATGGAATGCATCAATTTTGTGACTCAAAAGATGCAGCACCGTCTTGGAGAGCAGCTCTCTCTGATCCCAAACCTACATTAAACAGTAGGAGAATCTATCCAATGCTAAAGATTTTCCTTGGGGTTTAATAGACAACATGATGGCCAAACTGGGTGATTAGCAAAAGACTCAGCCACAACTTCTGGGTCACTAAAACAGTTGTGTAATTAAAGTATAGGAAATTTTTGGTGTTTGAAGACATTCATTTACAATGCAAAACATCTAAAGGAGTCATTATAGGCTCCACTTGTATGTATAGTCTACATACAGTGGGTATTACATGTTATTTATATATCATGCACTCCTCTATGTGTAAAGTGCCAAACTCCCTGCCCCTAACAGCTATCAGCTGAAATTATTTCCTCACCCATCTCATGCAGTAAAATGTTGCCTTTAGAATATCAGTTAATACTTGAGTTCTACTGAAGCAATAGGCCTGAAGTGGCTCTC